ACCAGGGGAGCATTCGCACAGTTAAAACTCGTGCGCCAACTGCGCCCGTACCTTGGGAAGTCTGACTTGGCCACGGTAGTCCACGCTCTGGTTACATCCCGTTTAGACTACTGCAACGCTCTCTACGTGGGGTTGCCTTTGAAGACGGCCCGGAAGCTCCAATTAGTCCAACGTTCGGCGGCCATGATACTAACAGGAGCGGAGCGCAGGGAGCATACAACTCCTCTGCTGCACCAGCTCCACTGGCTGCCGATTTGCTACCGGGCTCAATTCAAAGTGCTGGCGTTGGCCTTTAAAGCCCTAAACGGTTCTGGCCCAACCTACCTATCCGAATGTATCTCGGCCTATCAGCCCACCAGGACCCTAAGATCTTCTGGGGAGGCCCTGCTCTTTATCCCGCCTGCTTCACAGGTGCGGCTGGCGGGGACGAGAGACGGGGCCTTTTCTGTGGTGGCCCCTCGGCTATGGAACGCCCTTCCCATGGAGGTAAGATCAGCCCCCTCGCTGATGGTGTTCCGAAGAAGATTAAAAACCTGGATGTTCGAACAGGCATTTGGTTAATTCGGTGCAATGAATGTAATGATTAAAGGATTGGTAATATGGACGACGAAACTGGATCACGATTTTAGTCAGGAGATGCATTGGATTGTTATTGATGTGCGAATATTGTGTATCATGCTTTTATGGTTTTAAATTGTATACTGTTGATTGTTGTATTTTGTTGTAAACCGCGTTGAGTCGCCGGCTAGGCTGAGAAACAGCGGTATACAAGTATAGCAAATAAAATAAATAAATAAATAAATACAAATGGCAATGATTAAAATCTATATTAATGTTACAATTTTTTTTATCCTACTTCAGTTGTCCAAAAACTAAGACACTATTTTTATTATATCAGTGGCATCACTAGGGTTGATTTCTCCCAGCCCCTCTACCACACAGCTGAATAAAATCTCACATTATCTACTGGAATATATGGCAGTGTGGACTCAGATAACCCAGTTCAAAGCAAATATTGTGGGATTTTCTTCCTTGATATGCTGGGTTATATGGCTGTGGGGAAAGGCCCCAGTATGGTTGGTCATAGTGTCACCTGCATGGACCTCCTCACAAAAAATTGACAAAATCAGTAACTATAAAAAATGAACAGCAATGATCACAGCATTGTATGATTGTAGTATGTGCAGACAAAAATCACATAATTCAAAGCATATAATTGGATAGTTATGACAGTTCTGATCGGCATAAGACCCTTGAGAAGTTTAAAAAAGTATTACACAGGTGATTTTGGCCAGTTTAGGCAATAACCACTTTCTCTGCACTAAAGCATTTTCCATTCACCATGGTTCCCTGACCCATTTTCAAGAACGTTTAAGGGAGTGTATAGCGAAATTTAAGGATATCTGGGCAGGGGGGAAAAAAGAATCCCACCGCTGCCACCAATATAACGAAATTTGAGGCTGTCTGGGCAGGGTGGACAAACAATCAATCCCACCTCTGTCCCTCAAGGCAAGGGAGAATAAAATATTATAAATGACCGATGTTGCTGGTAGTATTAGCCGCCACCACCTCAGAATTATTGGCCTGAGAAACCAAAGGTGTGAATGTGTTATAAGTAAGGTGTGTTTGCCCTTGTTCTTCTATGGCTTCTTCACTGGCTGACTGGACTTTGAAATGGTTTGACAGAGTGAGTTCTGAGGAAATGGATAGAGGAAATGAGGCATACACCAGTTAACAGTGAACTAAGAAAGAGTTTATTGAACTTGGAACAAATATCACCTCATAGCATGAGGGGTACAGAAGCGTAATTCAGCTGGAGAGACTTAGTTACTTAAGCAAGTAGTTCCACTGACATTAAAGCATTTATCAACTGTGAGATCCCTTAAACACACTGCTCTATCTTTAGAAACAGTAACACTTGCAGAACAGACTCCTGTCTGTCTCCCCCCACAGGGCTAATAAGCTCTCTTATACTTTTACTCAGTATAATCAGACAAGTTTTTCTGTTACTGAACCTATCAAAACAGTAACCTTGGCCCTTGTCTACTGCTTATTCCCTATTCTAAAGGCTCACTTAAAACTTTCCCTGTCAGATCCCTACTGTAGCTTCCTATCTTAAAATCACAACCTTCCTTGTCTGATGTCAAGACACTTCTCTCTCTCTGTCAAGAGCTGACAGCTTATTTTCCCTCTCTCAACTGACTCCTCCCCCAATTGCTATACCCAATCAGGAGTCGGCTTGACTCCTCCTCCTGCTCTGCCTGCCTTCCAAGATGACAGCTACTGTCATGCAGGCTTCGGCCTTGTCGTCTTAAAGGTAGATTCTACTACATCGTGCCATAAGGAAGAGGATGGATTGAAGACATCTGCTTCAGACAATACAGTTGTGTGCATCCAAATCTGAATCAAACTGGTACTGCTGCTAGTTCAAACCAGATTAAATATCAGACAGACTTTCAAGTGTTGTTATTCATCTGCTGATATGCCAAGTATTATGACAACTGTTTTGTTCTCTCAGTGCTTTTAATCTGTACCAAGAAGATGACCCTAAGACTGGCAATATAACTTCAATCATACATTACTTGCAGCATGCTATAGAATTCATTGTTTCTTGACAGGTTTCTAGCAAACTGTGCTTTACTGATTGCATGCTGGCTTTGAGATGCTTGTGAAACCCTGGCCTCACACTCCTGCTATTATAGAAAATGTTACTGATTTCATGAGATTGTGCTTAACTTGCTAATACGTTTTTTATTTCACATATGTATATCATTTAAGATCGGTAGTAACTCTCTGATTCATAACTTGGCTTCTCGGATCAATAAAATCACTAGAATTGTGCTCAAATAGTTGGGACTTTTCACAATAAAGAGGATTTCTGTATTTTTGATTGCAAAGCTGTAAAATACGGCATGTTTTCAAGGTCAATAATGTGTCGCCCCATACAAAATAAGCTTGTTGATTAGTTTGGTCCAGAATGACTAACCTTGAGTTACAAACAAATTGTATGAGATATTTTGTGCAGGATAATATTTGTGAAATATGGTTGTTTGAAAAACAATTTGCTAGCATGTTGATTTGTGTAGAAATCAAGGGCTGTGTACAGCAACCACTTGATAAAATTGCCAGCATGCATAATCGAGATTGTCTTAAAGATGGAAGTTTTTTCCTCCTAATGTGAAAAATATTTATTGCAGCTGAACTGATATCACAGTTCCTGTATGTCTAACAAAATCTAAAGCGTATTTTCATGCTGTGATGTGTTTTTCTGCTTTTTTCAGTATTATCACCAAGGTCAATTTGCATAGGGAGTGATGTTCCATGACAGAAGCAAAGCATAAGATAGGAAGATTAGGGTGACATTAATGAACATCAATAGATGCCTGAGAGGTGGAGCATGTTGGTGTTTTAAAGGAAAACAATCCCCACATATATCATCCCCAATTTAAGTAAATGTTTCCATTTTTCAGAATAAGTACTATAAGGTGCACCATAACTTGCAGAATTCCATAGCTTGCAAAACCACTGTTCAGAGAAATAAGCATTTCAAATTTAAGTCTAATGATTCTGAATACTTTGAGTCCCATCTAAACTGCCATATAATGCAGTTTGAAACTGCATTATATGGATGGTGAAGACTTGTATAGTGTAGTTCAGTGCAGTTGAACTGCATTGCATGAGTTTTCACTGACCGTGTAATTCAGTTTCAAACTGCATTATATGACAATATAGACTGAGCCTAAGAGCCCCTCCACACTGACCAAAGTGTTCAGGAACAGTAAGCTGGCTTTTTCTTTGTTTTGTGAGATATATATATATATATATATATATATATATATATATATATCACATACATACAACCAATGTGTATGTATGTGTGTGTGATATGGTTATCTAACTGTGTATGGCCCAGTCTTAGCAATTTGGGAATCCATGGAACAAAGGAACTATTCTCTTTTAATCACCATGTTATGAAGAACTGAGATGAAGAAGTCATATATAAAATGAATATAAGCAGTGAGGATGTGAGAAACTTCCCAAAGTTTTTTTAGCGAGCTTATTAAAATTGTTTTTGGCATCTTTTGAAATGTATTAGATATTTTGCCAGAAGACAAAACTCTGCAGTCAGTTTAATCTTTATGTGGGGAAAATACGGTACCAGGATTAAGGTGCTGAAAACTCCCTCAGAAAGATCGCATTTTACAACAGTGGCTTCCCGATACAATTCTCTGATAAACAGCCAGTGGGATTGATAGAGCTCAAGGTGGCTGCTTGATATTCCCACCTCTATAAGTAATTTGTAGCACATCAGACACAAAATAAATCACTGTTGCAAATCTCCCTCACACTAGAAATCATTCACCTGAGAGAGGTGGGAATATGAGGCAGTTACTTCTTGATCAACAAGGGATGGTCCTTGTGGTTTCTTTCAACTCTATGATTCTATGACCTCCATTGAGCCCAGTGGCTGCTCATCAATAAGTAAGGTTTAGAGAACTTTCACATTAAGGATTAAGTGGAGATCATGAATATGTCGCAGCTATGAATGCACAACTAGATTATATATTTATAGCTGCCCTGACTAAATTCTAGCCACAGTTTCCTGCATCATGACTCAAGACGTTTCTATAGAAGCTCTCACTCTCTCTCTGAAGAATATTTAAACATCAGTTAGACAAGCAGAAGAAAGAACCAGGTGCATTGAATTAGCAATGTGCTGGAAGGGTGAAGGCAAAATACAAGTTCTTTATTTTCCATGGCAGATTTTGCACTGCCGGCATGGCAGATCTACAAGTGAAAAGCCATTTCTCTTTGCACCTGCTGTCACTGGATGAAGCAAATATTGAAGGATCAAGATATTACAATGTCACATTTGTTACAATAGGCTGAATCCCAGGTTACAAGACTACAAACTATTATTTATGGCCTTTAATGCATTTTGACTTATAATATATGTGAAATCTTATTTTAGTGTTTTTTTTCTCCTTTTCTTGTTTCAGGAACTAGAATTCCAGGATTTGACAGCAGTTTTAAACTGCATCCACTCCTTTATAGCTGCTAAAGTTGCTTCAGTGGATCCCTTATTTATAGAGGGCCAGAGCATTGCAAGAAAATATACCTACAGCAATTGAGAGAATTGTATGTTCTGATTATAAAAAAATTAAATTATTTTCTTAAAGAAAAAAAGGTTATTTCATGCACAATATTGCAATTCCATGTGATTTTATAAAAGATCTATAGTTGTGTTACAAATAAAAGTTACTAGTTTTCACATTTGAGTCATCATTGTTAAAACTGATGAGTTAAGCATTTATTCAAACTGAATCAGTTTGTGCCAAAATGCCTAAATGAGTATTTTCACGCTATAATAAAACTGTACTATTATTTTAAATCTCGTTGTCCAGCATTACACATTTCTAACTTTAATAATAATAATAAAACCAGATAACCAATATTTTTTCAAAATCTTGAAACTACATTTGTACATTGAGAATATAGTGGAACATAAACTTCTCATGTTGAGTCTTGTTTATCATTAATTTTTATGATTATTCAAACTGATGTGAAACTGAAAAGAAAAGTCTTACTTTCCCAGTAAAACAACCTGCTGCCTTGCTACATCAACATTTACTGATCTGAAAAGTCTGCATTTGACTGTTCATTTGTTTTTTCATGCCAGAGGTGTAAGTTTGATCTTAAAGCAGTGTTATGCATTTTGGGTTGCTCACTCACCTATCTAGGAATAAATCCCATTGAATCCACTTGGAGTTACTTCTAAGCAATTATACATAAACTTGCTCTGGTAATCACTGACATGAAAATCAAATCACATACAGGCAATTGTCTTTCGTTAAATTTTTTACATAAAGTATTTAACAGAGTTGTTTAGGAGGACTGCAAGTCATAACACACAATTGTCAACTTGGATTACCATGTGAGATTCTGTCTAGAGATATAATTGTTCACTCAGTTCTTTTTAGAAGGCAGAAATGAGTAATTTCAGCAGTTTCTTCACATTGTGGGAAAGTCTCCAAAATTACACAATTTTCTATGGCTGTTCACAATTTGTGACTTATTTTGTGCAAATCTGCATGTGCTTGATTTGTGCAAAAATACTCTATTTAATTCTAAGATACACTTTTTCTGCATAAACATTCTAAAATGGGTGCATGAGAATCGGTGTATCTTATATGTGTTGGTGGCTGAAGTATTGATATTAGGGTGCATCTTACAATTTGATTTGTATTTTATAACTATGTCACACTACTTTTGTTCTTGGGTTATGAATATCATTTCCTAATTGATTCTAGCATAAAAACTTGGGAAACATTAATTAAACTCCAAAAACTTTGTGGGACATCCTACAGCATTTTGCTATATTTTTTCAATGAATATCTCAGCAAGTCTCAACCAATTCAACATATTTTGTGGCAGCCACAATAATAAAATTTCTGGAGTACAACAATTACTTTAAAATAAGTACCTCACAACTGGACAGGAATAACTTTCAAACCAGAAAAAGATTTTTTCAAATTTTGTTACATAGCGTAATTGAAGAAATACAGTAGCATTTTCTGTTCAGGATACAGCATTTTTTGCATGGAAAATAATATTTCAATGAAGAAATATCAATTCATGCACAGGAAAATGTTTTCTTCACAGAAAAAGGTATACTTAGATGACTGTTCTGCACAAAATTTGCATGAGATTGTTTTTCACAGAAAACCGGATTTTCCGCATCGATGATACTTTTTCAACACAGAAATAGCAATTCCTGCACAGAAAATGCTGCTTTCTATGCAAAATGTTTGAATTTTAGATGGAACAAATTTCCAGGATAGTTTTTGTTCTGCACACAAAACAATGCTTTTCTGTCCAGAAATTAACATTTCTGGGTCAAAATACTATTTTCCATGCAGAAAATACTATTTCCTATGCCAAACAATCACATGTAAGTTTTGCCCAGAAAAACCATGAACTATGAAGATACCCATCAGTCCAGGATTTTTCTTATCAGAGTTTCTTGAGATTAAAAAATAGGTTTTATTTTACCATTTTTGAATATTTTCTCATTCTTTTCATCCCTAATTTCTGTCCCATGTAAAATGAAATATTGAAGATTGCATTCAATATATGTGCATTTCAAATCTCATTTACCCCATTTAGGTTTCCCCCCTAAGCATTTATTCAACAATGAGTTACACTTTAATGCAATGTTACCGAAATCCACACACTGCTGGGCATTACAAGTTGTATTATGTTAACTCTAATTCTCTTTATCAGCAATGTTGCCATAGCTCAGAAATATTACTGGATCACTTTCACGGGCAATCTAGCATTTCACTAAGATTTAAAGCCACAATATCAAAATCCTTTTTTTAGATAACTTTGTTAATTATTGTTCTAAGATAAGCAGTTTAATAGAGCCTAAAGATAGGTTTATGAGCCTATTTAGTAACATATAGTGATCTATAGACATTGGCAGAAGAAAACTATAGTCAGGCTGGTCCATTCACCCCAGCAACTCCCATTGTTGTAAAGGCAGAAAGTAGTGTATGCTGCATAAAGCATGATCTTCGTCAGTAAACAACTGCATCAGGATCAATGGCAACTGGTGGCTTACATATCAATGGGACAATTAATCCATTCTAAGTTTTAGTCCAAAATGTCAAAGAAGATATTTTGGCAATAGCATGTAGCACTTTGGATATCCCCTTTCAAGTTTAGACTTAAACCTAGAATGTATATAGTGCCCCATTGGCATGGAAAGCACCAGCAACTATTGGCCATATGTTTAAGAAATACTTGTGCCTCAAGCTTATTGTGCCTCCTGCATTCATATCATACATCTGTATCTTTATCAGCATCTGTTTCAAAATACTTTATCAGTAATTTTTAGGAAAACCCTGTAAAAAAGATCCATTTTAATTTCTTTCCCTGTATATTGCAAGTGAGGTGTCACTGGTGACAAGGAGAAGATGCCTACCTGTTCAATGTGACTCAGTAAGTTTGTGGCTGAAAATATACTTGAACCAAGGATGTTCAACATTAGTTTACCTCTCGGCTCTCTAATACACCCTATGCTTCTTTTTTAAAAGGATTTTAAAGAAAACAGTTTAGTGCAAGGATATGGTTTTGACTTGAATAATCCTACTCTTACACAGGATAGCATTCATATCTGGGTGGTTTTCAGATGCATTTGACTACAAATCCTATCATCCCCTTTCACCATGACCATGTACTCCCAGAAGGTGTATTCAGTACCTTCAGTACCATACAGTGTTACAAGGTGGGGGATAGTTGCAACTCTTCAAATGTTGTTAGACTGCAAATCCCAGCATTCCTACCATGCATTACCAATGATGGGTTGCATATTGGGAACTGCAGTCCAACTTCTGGAGGACTGCATGATTCCTGCCCCTGAAATAATGCTCTATTTCATCTCTAATTTTGTACAGGTAAAGCTAATTAAGTCAGGATGTGAAGAAATGCAATGATTATGCATAGTTTTATGCTCCCAGTTTCTAATCTGAGAAGTGATGTGCACAAGGGAGCCTGCTCCTATGTACAGATTTTGTGTAGTTAAGCCAAAAGAGTAGGTAGGCCTATAATTTGTGGTTAGAAGCAATGATACAATAATTAACACTCATTAAGAAACTGCTAACACAGAAGGTAATAAAGAAAGCAAAATTTTACTTATATAAAGTAAGTGTATTGATTATATAATATTCTTAAATGCCATGTTCATTTTATATTTATGCTTTTCACAAACCTAAGTCTATTTTTAAAAGTTAAAATGTTCAAAATATATTGCTTTAACTTTATATTATTGCTTTTATAACATTAAAAAAACCCAAATTGATAGCATATGAATTTGGAACTTATGATACTTCCATTATGTGGAAACATAATGGTGATGGGACATATTTAAAAGCAAAGGGGGGCTAAGGATAGGCCATAGGACAGCAGTTCACAAACTGTGGGAGACAACTCTTGGGTACATGGTAGTTACAGAGAAAGAGGTAAAATATTAAATTGTTATTTCATATCATGAAATCATTTTATGGAAGCAGTTCCTATTGAACACATTTGTTTAAACTGGGTCTGCCTTGCCACATCGCCTCCTCACTTGATGCACATCCCTTTGATGCTCCTCAACCACCAATAAGAGTCCTCATGTAATCCCTTATGGGGACATGATGTCTGCATGTAGGGGCTAAAATTTTAGAATAACTGCCATGGGATATTGAGACTACTATCTTCAAATCGCAACCTAGTTCACTGGAAATCACAGTCTCCTAGAGCAGCATCATGGACTGCTGCTTTTGATGCTTGCTGTCTGTGTGTGTTTTTTTAAAGCTCCCTCTGCTGATTTATGTTCTACTATAATTGTGGTTTAATGTTGTGGCTTTTTAAAAATGCTACTGTATTATTGTAAGCCACCACAAGTTCTTTTTATTTTTTGCAAAAATAAAAAGCAGGAGATATTTCTTAAATAAAAATGAATACGTTACACAGATGGGTGGAGGAGTTGCTTAATCATCGAGATGGATTCTCACTGTGACTCTGAAGAAAAACAACTCAAGCCAACGTTTTCGTCTAGGGTAGCTGAGGACTACAGCATCAACACAAGCAAATTATATCACTGGAATGCTTCTTCGCTGCTTTGCCTGGATTACATTTCACTGCATGACACTAGAATTGTAATACCAGGTTGGGCTTTTACTAGGTAAGCACATTAAGTGGGATGAGGCCCTATACTATATTCCCTTCCAATGAACGAGTTGAGGACTACATGTATTTTGTGAACTAAAATAAGACTCTGGCTCCTAGATGCAACAAGTACTTATTCATGGAACCATTCATATTTATTAAATTTGAGATTTTATATATGGAACTATGACGTATGATGGGCAAGAAGGTAATCTAAGGTCGCAGTGAAAATCTCCTCTTCCTCACCTACTATTAACCCTGGGAGATGTGCTCCTATTTTCAACAAAGGAATTGGTGAATTAACCATATCTACATTTTCATAGAACTGTAATGAGCTGGTCATTGAACATAATAAAGTGAACTTGACCTTGAACTTGAACATAGAACTAAAATATGAATTGTTGCTTGATTATGCATTAGACTTTTGCAGGCGGGAGACATAGTGTAATGTGTCAGTTAACCAGCTTAGCACATGAGTACATGGCAACAGCACTAAGAACCACATCAGTACATGACCACAGCACTATAGGAAAAAAGGAAATGTGCTGATTAGTTGCTTGGGAAGAAAGATGAGATAGTAGATAAATCTGGGCTTCTTGAAATATTATGTTATTTCTTTCCCCGGAGGCACAGAAACAGAGCAGAGATTGAAATCTCTAAAAATGGTATAGATTTTACAGGGGGGACTGTAAAGTCTACTCTCTCTACAGCATCCAGAAGAGTCAACTGGGTTTGTAGTTGGTTTTTTTCCCTTTCTTTTTAAACTTTGTGCTCAGTAATGTAGAACTCTTCCACACTGACACAAAATGCAGGATGAACTGGCATTTTAATCCTGGTTCAGGACCACATCTTGGTCACATGTGGGTGCCTCCCTAACCTCCCAACTGTTGCAGGATGTTCTCAGTTAATTGGATCATGCTCAATGATGATGTGATGAAGCTTTGGAGAGGGACTCCCCCCCCCCACTTCTCCAAAGCTCTGTCACATCATCACTGAGGGCAGTCGACGGTATGGAGAGCCTCCTTTAACAGTAAAAAAGTGTTTGCTACATTTTGGTGCAGCAGGGTGAATGAGAGGCTGAGAAAGAATTGTGCTCCCTGGGCTCTTGGGACACCACCTGGGATCATGGATGGTAGTCCCAGAGGGCAGTCTCCACTGCCTTGGCACTCACAGAAATTAAGACCTTCATGTAAGATCCAGGTCTTTGCAGGTGCTATATCAACCTGAGGGTAAACCGGATTAAAATGTTTATCACAGATTTATTCACATTAGCCTGGGTGTATCATCTGGACACCCAAGCCAATATGAGACTTACACTGCACTATATAGCAGTGTACATGAGTGATGAGGCCATAGTAAAAGGAACTGCACTTACATCACCTTTTTGCTGCAGTACTTATTGTTCATTATGCAGCTCAAAATATTCAATTCTTGAAATAGCTTGGAAATGCTTCTTAAAACATGTCAAAATAAGTAAGGAATCCCACTCTATCTACAGAACCCTGATGAAATAATTAAGAGTAAATAAAAGAACAAATTATTTCAAATTGTTTTTCTTCTCAATTTTACCTAGAGATTTGGGCTAAGATTGAGAGATTTTCAACAAGATGAGGAAGCTGTCAATTGCTCAGAAGGGAGTTGTTGTTTTTCTCATGCAAGAAGCTCATGATAGAAACTTGGATAAGGAATATAAACTTTGCATATATAATTCAGCTTGCTCGTAGAAGTTCTTCCTCATCAAAAAGTAGAAACTATTTGCTTCACTACGACACATCTAGTTCAAAAGTACAGAGCTGTATGAAAAACTGAAGAGGCAGTTTTCTTCCTCTGAGAGTCTTAGACCCCTTCCACACAGCTGAATTAAAATCCCAGGTGATCTGCTTTGAACTGGAATATATAGCAGTGTGGACACAGATAACCCAGTTCAAAGCAGGCATTGTGGGATTTCTGCCTTGATATTCTGGGTTATATAGTGTGTTGAAGGACCCTTACAGATCAGGAATGCGCAGCTAGAACTTTCCGGATGTTTTTGGACTGCATCATTGCCTATGCTGTCCAGATGGGATTTACAGGTCTCAAACATTGAGATGACCACTATTGGAAATTCCTGTTTTAGATCTTTGTTCAGGAATCTCCTTTTATCCTTTCACATAAATTAGACTTGCACCATTCCAAATCCCATTTTCAGTTACTACAGGGGTTAAGAATACTGTCCCAATCATGGAATGATCAAAAAACCCTTCAAAATCTTTGTAAGTAGTGCAATCATATGATCAATTCAGTGTTGTCAGAGAGCAGGGAGATGAGTGAGCTTTTTCCTGCAGATTGACATGCTGCAAGGACCTCTTCAGTAGGTGTGTACCAAGGACTAATAATATTGGGACAGAAAACACAGTTCCAACAGTACTTGTGCATCTCTATTTTTTTTCCCAGAGGGTGTTTTTCTGAGTGAGAGAGCTTCCTTTGTCTGGGGAGACTCTCCATGTGAAAATCCATATGTGGAAGGTGATGAATACAAATGACAGGTGATGGGCATGCTTCCCCATCACTTGTTTTATTTACTCCAAGAATAAAACAGGGCTCTTATCTTCAGATATAGTATTTTACCACTAAATCAGCTTTTCACCTTTACTACATGTTTCAACTATCCAAAGCAATGCATTCTAAAAGACTTTCCTTTTCCTGGCTTCCTTAAAGGAATATCTGGCCTTTCTAAAGAGGTTTATTGTAAACCGCTATGATTTTTCGAGTACCTACAAAAAATCCTGTAACATTTTTGTTTACTAATAAAGATAGTTTGTACATTGAAAAAAATAAAAAGACTGAAATGTTTTTGCACAAAACATTAGGCTATACTCAATCTTTGCCCCACAAAAGCATTGTATGATTCCAGTTTCTATTTTTGTGGATTTTGTAATTAATTATTTGTCTCCATGGTATTTGTATGTGAACATGAAATTTATTGAAAAATATAGAAATGAAAGATTTGGGATTCAAACAGCAACCACTGGGAGAAGTAATCAGGGAATAGGGAGTGAGTTTTCTTCAGATACCTAGCTCTACGTCTCTTTTATTTCATATTCTGGGGATGCTGAGAAAATTTTGAATCTGTGATGGACTGGACAAAGGTAAACAAACTAGAATTAAATCCAAATAAGATAGAAGCCTGCCAGTCTAGGAAACAGACTATTATCTTGACCTGGATGGGATGCACTCCCCTTGAAAGATCAGATTTGCAGCTTAAGAGATCATGTGTCCCTGTTATTAGACCTACACACATTAGCTTTTGCCTGACTTTAGCTTCTGCGCCAGCTTTTTCTGCTGCTGTTGTTTGCAGGCTTTGCCATGATCCCATATGCATTAATGAATTTTAAGTAGAACTACTGCTGTCTTTTGTACATGGGCCCTTGAAAATTATATGGGCCCAGAAACGTCAGCTAAGTGCAGAATAGTGCTGCTAGAATAGACAGGATCAATCACACACAAGAAATTCCCATTCTTTTAAATTTGATGGCACCTGAATATTCTACTTCTCCTTCATCAGCCCTTTTTGAACTATCTCCTGTTTCTCTCCCTCCTTGGGTCTCCTCCTCCCCAGTGTTTATGTGTCACATTCAGTATCAAGCAACATTACTCCTTTTCTGCTCTGCTAGGGTGGTTATGCTGTTGAATAAGACTGAGCTCTAAAACCATCAACTTACATTTTCTCTAAAATAAATCATATTGATTAATTTTAAAAAATAGTTTTACATATATTATATATTGTCTTGATCCTACTTGCAGTGAGTAAAGGAAGTTTCAAACAAGTCATTGCTACAGATTTATTTATTTATTTTTATTTCCAAATTGCTATGCAGACATTAATTTGGCACCCACATTCAACAGAAAACCTTTTTAAAGAAAGCAGTTGCTTCAGAACAGTGTTTCTCGACACTGTTCTGGGACCCCTAGGGGAGTCATGAGGGGGGTATAAGAGGAGACACCAAAGACCATCACAAAACATAGTATTTTCTGTTGGTCATGGGGGTTCTGTGTGGGAAGTTTGGCCCAATTCTAACATTGGTGGGGTTCAAAATGCTCTTTGTAGATGAACTATAAATCCCAGCAACTACAACTCCCAAATGTCAAGGTCTATTTTTCCCTTTGGGCCATATTGAGTATTAATGCCAAATTTGGTTCAGATCCCTCATTGTTTGATTCCACAGTGCTCTCTGGATATAGGTGAACTACAACTCCAAAACTCAGGGTCAATGCCCACCAAACCCTTCCAATATTTTCTGTTGGTCATCGGAGTTCTCTGTGCCAAACTTGGTTCAATTCCATCACTGGTGGGCTTCAAAATGCTCTTTGATTTAGGTGAATTATAAATCCCAGCAACTACAACTCCTAAATGACAAAACCAATCTCCCTAACGCTACCAGGATTTAAGTTTGGGTGTATCAGGTATTTGTGCCAAATTTAATCCAGTATGTCCTGAATATCAGATATTTGCATTACAATTCATAACAGTAGCAAAATTACAGTTCTGAAGTAGCAACAAAATAATTTATGGTTGGAGGTCATCACAACATGAGGAACTGTATTAAGAGGTGGTGACATTAGGATGGTTGAGAAACACTACTTCAAAACAAGAGTAGGTAGAAACAGAAGCACAGATGCTTAGGGTAAGAAAAGTAAAAGACTCCTGTTTACTGTACTTTCAGTTCATGTTGAGGTGTCTCCAATAAACCATTTCTGGTTGATTGGGTTGTTACTTGTTGATAAGGAATTGAGGAATATAAAGATCTCAAGAAACTGAATGAGCCTGTTGTTATGCACTTTACAAAATGATTGAAAACACTTTCAGGTTCAAAAAGTCTTCCAATAATTTCTTTCCCAATGCCAGTAAAGTGATTTTACTTAAGAATTATTGACCCAGACGGCTCCTCAAATAAGTCTTAATTTGCCACACATAGGAGAGTGCTTGTTCACAATCAGCATCTGGTGGAATTATTATGAATCTGTGGTGTTTACTGAAAGAGTGTTTCAATGCTTAAAGTTTTGTTTCATTCTGCGAAATCTTGTTTGTCTTTTTCATAACTTGTGGAAAATTTGGAAAAGTAAGTTGTCTTTCCCATTCAGCCATGGTGTCTCTAATAGTCTGAGTTTTTCTGGATCAAGAATGAGATGGAAAGGACTAACTCCATTTAAAATTGTTTGTAAATCTTA